ATGTATTTAACATTATGGGTTTATTTTAGGTTTCAGTTCACACTCAGTACGCCGTAATTTATATGAAACTAGCCAACAGAAATTATTACCTAATCTAGGAGAGATTATTTCCCAACCTAGGAGAGATAAATGTTAGAAGCGTGGGGTCTGAGTAGTTTAATGGTCAGAACATTCGTCCGGCAAGCGGAAGATCCGGGTTCATTTCCCGGCTTAGCCACTCGCGCCCTGATATTTTTTTTCTCTCTTCCTTTCTTTCCAATAATTCCTATATGTACATTATGATTCTCCATATATGAGAACAATGTACTTAAATTTTCGTACACTTTAAGTATCTCGATCTGAGATCGGTGTACAATCTAACTGTCTCATGTAAACTAATTTATTAATTTCTTTAAAAAACAATTAAAAATTTAGCACTAACATCCGCGACGGCTCTTAATGCTCTTCTACTATATTTCTTGATTATAAATTTTAAGTTTAATCTGTAAACAATTGCGACGTATGATCAGATAATTATTATGTAACACACTGAAGATGACCACATTCCGAATGGTCGAAACGTATGTGTAAATACAATATCATTAATAAATGATTATGTAGTAGTAATATTACGAATTTCGTTGCACATGTTGTTAGTTTTTTTTATGCATTCTTTTATGCGTTTAGATCGGATATTTACTGCTGCAATATCGAGTTTTATTACTAATTTCCAAGTGGTTTCGATAAGATTTAATTCTCCTATTTGTTCATAATATAGTTCAGGCTCTTGAGTGAGTATTCTATCTTGATTGGAGATACTATTTCAGCTCTCATTCTCTTGATTAATTCGTGCCCCAGTAGGGTGAACCTGGAATTTTATGCTGCAAAAGATTGTATGTCTTTTACTTTCCATGGTACCGGAAAATTTTTTACCGCTTTTAATTTTTCTGGATCGGACATGATCTCGATTATTACGTGTCCCAGATACGTAACTTCTTTCCTAAGGAACTCGCATTTATCGGGCTGTAATTTGAGATCGTTGGTTCGTATTCTTCGCAACACGTCCTCTAATCTACGGTTGTGCTTTTGTAAACTTGCTCCATATATCACTATGTCGTCGAGATATACTAAGCATTTTATTCCTTGTACACCCGTTAGGACTGTATTCATTAAACGTTGAAAAATTACGGGCGCGTTCTTTAATCCGAAGGGCATTCTATTAAATTCATAGTGTCCATGTGGTATAGAGAACGCAGTTTTCTCTTTATTCTTGTCGGCCATTGGTATCTGATGATATCCTGATACTAACGTCGTGAAACATTTCGAATTTCCTAATTGATCGGGTATATCCGTTATGTTAGATAATGGAAACAAATCTCCGATTGTTGAATCATTCAATTTTCAGAAATCTACAACTACACGTAACTTTGTTTTTCCTGAAGCGTCTGTTTTTCTCGGCACGATTAGCAATGGAGCGTTCCATTGACTATTGCTCGCGGTTGAATAATTTAATTTTTTAACATCTCTTGCACTTGACGATTCACCTCCGCCTTATGTTTCTCGGGCAAGTGATAAGATCGCGTGTTAACCGGTGCTGAATCGGTACGCGTCGTGATCTGATGTTTCGCGGTCGTGGCGGCCGTCAGTGGTTCTCCTTCTAAATGAAATATATCATTGAAATTTTCGCAGATTTTAAGGAAGGCTTTTCTCTTTTCGTCATTTAAGTGCTTGAGACGAAGCGCCTCTTTAATCCGTTGCATGCGTGACAAGGGAATGTCTTTCGGTATATATGTTTGCGCTATTAATACTTTGGCATTTTCTTCTGTCTTTATTTCTTCAATCTCTACTACTGGAACTTGTATTTCTATTTTAGTCTCGGTATTATTTATTATACTAGTCGGGCAACTTATTTTTTGGCTCGATTAGGCAATTTCCAATAAATATTCCCGGTCCAGTTTCCATTGCATGTACTATTCCAGCTGTGTTCTCCTTTGTTATGGCTGTTATTATAATTTCGCTTCTAGCTTATAAAGTAAATTTTTTGCATGAAAGAAACGTAAATAGATTTTTATCAATGCGTAGTTTTTTAGTAGCATAATTCCACGATGCTTGATTTTTGCAAAAAATCGGCTCCGAGGATTCCGTTGTATTCAATGGGGAAATCGTCCTTTATCACGTGTATTTTGTGTTTAGCGTCTTTTGTTTTTAACGGAATGATTGCTCGTATTACGCCTATAGTATTCGCTTTATGCCCTGTTGCGCCAATGATCATTATTTTCTTATCGTATATTATTGTTTCATCTTTTAATTTGTTTAATTTTATTAAGCTCAAAGTAGCTCCGATGTCGATTAACATGTTTATTTTGTTGTTAATCACTTCGTTTATTGGTAGTGAAATCAGATCAAGTTTAGTGTTCGCGCGGTTTATCTTATTAGCTGTTAGTACTGTTAGTTATGCTCGTGTACCGTCTTGGCTGTTGCTTTATTCGATCTCTTTTCTCCGTCATCATCTTCGTCCTCTGTTCCGCGATTTTTATTAACTTTGTTTATAGTATCACGTGTGTTTGACTTTTCGTTTCTTTTTTATTTTTAGTATATTCCGGTTTTCCGTTTAATATCTAACATTCGGCACAGTTATGCCCGGATCTTTTACAATAATTACAATATTTATCGAGCGCGTTTACCTTAGATCCACTTGGTTTAGGTAAATTATATTGATTAACGTAACGGTTCGACAATCACGACCATAGTGTCCGTTCTTTCCGCATTTGTGGCATTGAATTATCCTTTGAGTATTTATATTCTTACTCGCGGTTTGCACGGTATCACGCGGTCTTCTCAGTTTTTCTTCTGCTTTCGCCCCTTCTATGGCATCCTGCAGGGTTGCAAATAGTTGTGCGCGTATTACTATTTTTATGTCATTGCGTAGTCCGTACAAAGTTTTGTAGCGCTAATTGTTTAACGGTATCGAGTATAGCACGTTTATCTTGCGGTGTTTTCCTGGACTGTCTGTTAAAGACTCGTATAATTGCATAGCTGGATTGTCAGCACGCGCTCTGTATTCTACCGCACTTTCTCCTGGTCGTTGTTTCAGATGATTGAATTCGATTTGAATCGATGTAGAATTTTTCTTGGGATAGTAAAAGTTTTTCAATTCGTTTTTTAGTTAATTAAACGTTCTGATATCTTTAACCTCGAAATTTACCAATGCCTTTCCTTGTAGTTTAGTTGACATTATTACATCGAGTAGTTCGTTTTCGAACTCGGGTTTTACATATTTTATGGCACACGTACAAGCGCTCAAAAATGATTTTAGATTTGTTCGTGACGTACCGTCAAAGATAGATACCAAATTTATCACATGTTTTGGAGTCATGTAACGTTGTGCGTCTAGCGAACTGTCGGTTTCGTATATCTTCCGTGGTTCGACTGTATGAAACTTCGGCCTCGCGTTTTCGTCGCGGATTATGTTCGTAATGTTGTGCATGAATGTAATCAAATAAAGTCGCGATCTATCCGCGCATTTCTTGTAACGCTTCGATTACCGAATCCTGAGTGGGTTTATTTTTTAGGCGTATTTCCGTCGAAGCCCGCCGGCTTCGTTCTCTCGTGCGTTTTGCTCCATTAAAACAGATATTTCGTTATCTATTGCGGCGTCTGTTTCGCTCTTTCGCCTTTGAGACATTATTTCGTTACGTCTTTCGCGGATTTCTTCTGGATCAAATATGCTACTATCGTACGATCTGAACTCGAACTCGCTGTAATCAGATACACGGCTTGGTGTTCTGCTAAAGTACGATCTAGGCCTTTTACCTTTCACATCTATTACCGTATCGTTAAGTGCGGGAATTAAACTTGTATCAATTTCTTCAAACGTGTAATCATGCTTAGCGTCTACGTTAGGATGCACGCTATTTTCTTCGGATTCGTTGTTCGAATCTGTAAATTGTAATGCTCGGCGTACGTTATCACTAATATCGCGTGTCGCTTCCTCAATAACGCATATCGGGTTTGATGCTGTTTTTATCGCGCGCTGTCCTTGGTCGCTCAATAATCAAAATTTGTTTCGAATGGGTCCGGGGTCGCTCGTACTTTGGGACATTCACGCGGTTTACAATGTTGAACAATGTCGACTTACAGTAGTAGCACTGAAACGGTCCGTTTATTTGTGCGGAATAGTTCGCCGGGATCAGGAGTTCGGTCGGTTGGGGGCACGTTAAGAGAATGCACTGTGTGTAGCAAAATATAACTTGATATATGATTTGATGTTAGCTATGTACAGTGTACTGTGTGGATACGTTTAGTATAAATGTGTTGAATGCGTTGTCTGAACGCTCGTTATAAATTTGTAATAATTACGGCGGTATAAGGCGGCGCGAAACGGTTGACGTACGGCGCAAGCGTGGATGCCGCGGTTGTCACTAGATCGCTGGGTAGCGAGCGCGTGGGTTGATACCACAGATATCTATATTATAACTAGATCGCTAACTTGCTTTAAATACATAGCCCCAAAATCTATGTACTAAACTTTCGCGCATGCGTAACATTGGTAGACAGCGTAGACAGTAATCATTGGTTGATGTTATGTATAATCTGTACACATATAAGTATGAAACTTGTATATATAATATTATAATAAAATTTTAAAGTAATATGCAACTTTTCTCATCTTTTAAGTAAAAAATTAGCTCCTAAAAATAAAATAATGTAAAAAATATTCTTAAAATATGCAGTATATTAAAAAACAGACAAAAATCAAAAATGTTTATAGTAAATATATATAATTTTTAAGATTAAAAGTTAAATATTTAAAACAATTATTTTAGCTATATTTAGTTAGCAATGTTTACACAATTATAAAGTAATAATGCAATTTTGAAAGAAATTTAATAAAGATTTAATATCTTTATATAAAAAAAACATTTGTTAAAAAAAACAAATATATATTTAATAAAAATAAATAAATAAATATACATATATATATATATATATATATTAGTATACACACACAAATATAGCAAACTTATTTAACAGTAGGCACACAAAACAGGATATAGGTATAATATATTGAACAGGATATATGTTATGTATAACATTCATCTCTAATTACATAATAAACTCTAGGTTTTAATATTTGTCTCTTTACGTTGTACACTTTTAGTTAAAGCTTTATTTTTTTTCCTTTAAAGTTCTATGTTTTTTTTAAATTCAGCTTTGTTTTTATTAATAATTATATGAAACATGTTTGCTTGTTGTTCTAATCGTTTTTCTTGTGATATTTCTAAATCTGTTATATTGTGTTGTAACATTTTATTTTGTACTTTTAACTTCTCACAATTTATATCTGTAATATATTAAAAATAATTAAATAATTATAAAATGTATAATTTTAATACATAATAAATAATAACTATTATAAAATTGTTTTTAAATTACAAAAAATTTGTACATACATTTTGATATCACAGAAGAAACACTTTGTTCCTTATCAATAAGCATATCGTTTTGATTAATTTCTTCTTTATTATTTTGACTGTTTGTTGCTGTTTGTTCCTCATCAATGAGCATATCGTTCTGATTAATTTCTTCTTTATTATTTTGACTGTTTGTTGTTGTTTGTTCCTCATCAATGAGCATATTGTTCTGATTAATTTCTTCTTTATTATTTTGACTGTTTGTTGTTGTTTGTTCCTCATCAATGAACATATCATTCTGATTAGTCACTACTTTTTCTTTATCATTTTGATTGTTTGTCGTTGTTCGTTCTTCATTAATAATAGGCAGGTCTTTATTATTATCTATAATAAATATTTATATTATTTTGTTTATTACTGAATGTAATGTATGCTTAGTATACTTAATAATAAATAAAAAATTTTAATACATAAAATAATGTTACTCACTTTCGTTAATTTCATCTGCTTTAGCTAACAATTGGACAATATTTTTATGTACATGTTGAGTTGGGAATATATCAGGTTTTAAAAAATTTTTGCCAACATGCTTTGTATGATTAAAATAATCATTATTTGTAAAATGTAAACTACATATTCTTGCATTTAAAAAAGAAACTAAATCCTCTCTTCCAGCAGCCGCAATCCAATAATGGAAATATTTTTCATTTGACGATGGAAATCTAAAATTATATTATTAGAACACATTTAATTTCTAAAAGTAAATAGTATAAAAAGTTTTGGCCAAAAAATATTGTACATTTATATTATTAATGTTATAAAACAAATAAATCTTAACTTAAATATTAAAAATTATATAAATACTCTCTACAATACTAAAAATAATAAAAACTTTGGTTATTTAAATTAAACTCTTTAATTAATCTAAAAGATTAATACTTACCTATGAAATGTTATACGTAAATGTTTCTTCCAAGAACTTTTGCATCCTTTCACACTACAAACTGTAGGCATTTTGTACAAATTAAAATCTGTCTAAAATTTATAACCTGTTTATAATAACTAACCTCACACGAGTAATAGTCAACAGTCATGCGCCATACTACTTTTCTACCAACGTTACGCATGCGCGACCATCGTATTACATGGTTTTCGGGAACCAATTTTATGTACAACATTAATGGAAGTTAGCGATCTAGTTATAATAAAGATATCTGTGGTTGATACGTGCGAGCTGTGTCGACTGTCGATCGAACCGGTCGATGGTCCGGGCGCGTGCGCGGTAATTCAATGGTCGCTCGAATCGATTAGTCGCGATTGCCTGCCAGACGAAAAGGAACAGATTTGAACGGAGGAAGACGGGAGCGAGGATACGTGTATTGCCCGTGTCCTGCGGTGATCTGAAGTCAGACGTGGAGCCGAGTGTTCTCGGTGGTATACGAGTATGCTTGTATGCAGTGCTGCAAGATCGAGCATCCTGCAACAGAGCAACGGAAACGGCCCCCACCATGCGGGCACTACACAAGCGAGAACCGCATGTCACGCGTCCGTATGCGCACGCGTCAGCGTAGCATGCTATATTTTGTGTCACTTCCCCAGCTCGCGAAAAATGCTACGTACGAAAAATGCTAAGAAACCAAGCGTTTTTAATCGAGTAAGGCGAATCGCTTGAATAATAGAGATTCCGTCTTCTAGATCTGTTTCTTGCAATTATTTTTTTCTTTTTCCCGCATTTCTTTCTAACGCACAATCTAATGCACAATCGAGTAAATAATTAAATAATTTTTTTTCTAAACAGTATTATTTTATATTCATTAAAAATATTCGCATAAGTTAAATTAATAACTGTTGAAAAAGATATTAATTTGCTATGACTTGTCAATAGAAAAATAAAATATAATTTTACAATTTTTTAACAAAATGCAAGTTTAACATATGCCAAAGATTATTAATAAATATAAAATAATCCTTTTTTGTCGGAAACATTATTTAATAATTTGATTATTGTTAGAAACTTAGGTGCGAAAAAAGTTGTAAGAAGCAATTTCCAAACAATATATCTTCAACATTTTAGCTACTCGCTTAACCCGTTTAGCCACGCATGCTACTCGACATTTACTGCTTTAAACTGAAAAGAAAGATATATTACTAATTAATTATTAGTTAATAGTGGTCTTCCACGCCACCCATGAGGTGCCACTAATAGCGAGCCAGATTTTTTTAAAGTGGAGATCTTTGCCTGTAGCCCTATTATACCACATATTATTGCAAAAAACCACAAAAAATATATTACTATATAAATATTATGTATATTACAATATAAAAACTATATGTATATTATAAACATACCATATACATATACACGGTGTCCCGTAAAGACCGTAACAACGCTTAGAGGTATATTTCTGAGATCATTCTGAGCAAAAAATCTTAATACCAAAATACTTAGGGTGTAATGGTTTTTGAATTAGAAGCATTTAAAGTTAGCGAATAAGATAGTCTGAAATTTGCGCGCTCAGGTATGTACAACGTACAGTGATAAAAGCGAAATTGACTATCGCTCCCCTGTTGTCAGTATTAATATTTGGAAAATAAATTTGCTAATACATATTAACATAAATATTGTTTACGCAATTAAGATTTTGTTGAAAATATTATAAAGAAAAAATATTATGATACACAAAACGCAAGCTGTCAAAAATTACATTTCTTTGACATTTCTTTTTATCTTACAGATATTTGTACAATAAAATTATTAAATAATTGAAATAGTTTCACAATATTTTATTTTAATAACAGTTAAAAATAATTAAATAATATTGAATATGTAAAGACTCTTTGCGCATAATTTTGAGGTAATAAATGTTGTACCTTTGAGTAATGAAAGGCATGCATTTCATTTTCTTTATTCGTGAAATTAGTCGTCAAGTCGGAATGTCGAAAACAATGGTTCATAAAATATTAAAAGAAAATGAAATGCATGCATTTCATTACTCAAAGGTACAACTTTTATTATCTCAAGATTATGCGCAAAGAATAAACTTTTGTACATGGATATTGCAACAAGAAGAACAACAGCCTGAAATATTACGAAATATAATATTTACCGATGAATGCTTATTCACTCGTGAAGGTCTTTTCAATACTCACAATTACCACATTTGGGCACAGGACAATCCTCACGAATACGTAGCAAATAATTTCCAGCATAGATTTAAAATTAATTTATAGGCTGGTCTATTAGATGACACACTGGTGAGACATTTTTTTCCTTTATACTTTTTTTTATTTTTTAAATATTTTTTTAAATTGATAAAATAATAAGTTTAGTAAGTATCTTCTTATTTTATTGCAGATTGGGCCATTTGAATTACCTGCCAGAGTAAATAGTGAAACATCTAAATTTTTTGCAAAATGATTTACCGATATTGTTAGAAAATGTTCCGCTGCATTTAAGAAGAAATATAATTTTTCAACACGATGGTGCACCAACGCATTCATCCAGAAACGTTCGGCGTTTCCTAGACGCAACTTATCCAAACAGATGGATAGGATGCGGTGGACCACAACACTGGCCAGCGAGATCACCGGATTTGACTCCAGTAGATTATTTTCTTTGGGGACATTTAAAAAATTACGTTTACTGTGTACCAATTAATAATCGTCAACAATTGCACGATCGAATCATCGAAGCAATTGCAAGCATATCTCCTCAAATGATACGCAAAGTCAGAAATAATTTATTACGACAAGCAAGATTGTGCATAGAGATAAATGGTGCACAATTTGAGCACTTATTATAACAAAATAATACAAATAAAAAAGAATTTATCATTATTAAAGTTTACAATTATTTTATGATAGAATTAGTATTGCTACTATTATTTTATCAAAACTATAAATAACAAACTTTATTATCATAATTTTTATTAATATTTAATTTCAATGATGAGAAAATGGGGATATCGAGTCAACGCCAGTTTCTTTTTGTTTAAATTCTTTGTATTTATCAATTATAATCGGTTTTGAGTCAGTCTTCTGATCATCTTCAGTGACAATATCATTATAAAATGAGATCAATTATGAGATTGTGTTGTTCGTTGTTAGTTGGATTAACATCAAGTACTATTTGACAGCGCACAGAATAAACATAATTTTATAGTTTATCTCATTTTATAATCATATTGTCACTGACGATATTCAAAAGACTGATCGAAACGTTTGACCCATTATAATTAATAAATACAAAGAATTTAAGCAAAAAGAACTGGCGTTGATTTGATATCCCCATCTTCTTATCATTGAATTTATTATCACGAGTCTTTACATATTTAATATTATTTAATTATTTTTAACTGTTATTAAAATAAAATATTGTGAAACTTGTAACGATGCAGCGGGCTGCATCGTTACGGCTACGGACCGTACATCGTCCGTAGCCCACCAAGGGCGCAGCGCGCGCCGATAAATTTCGCATCAAAAACAGCGGCGGTCAACCGCCGAAAATCCCCCACACCCGACCGTTCCGAAATTCCGTATTGTGGGGGACTCGCCGCCGAAACCGCCGATGCTTGCCGATTCGAAACCATTCGGCCGCCAGCCGGGTATAAAAGAGGCCCGGCTGTACGTCTTCTCACCAGACTCCGTTCGCTGATCGACAGCGAACAAACCTGCTACGAGTGTCCTCGTAGTCCCGACCGAGCATACTCGGACTCTATGCCTTTACCAGCACACGAGAATCCTCGTGTACCGCCGAGCGTCCTCGGTAATCTTTGCTCCCGCATACGAATATCTTCGTATACCCCGTCGAGCGTACTCGATTCCTCTAGGCCACCAAACTTTGTACTGCGGGTATTTCCGCGTACCTAGCCAGGTCGCCATTCTACAATCCGTCTCCGTACGAGCGTCCTCGTACTCCCC